ACACACACACACACACACACACACACACACACACACACACACACACACACACACACACACGCTTCAGATCCTCACTGGAACCATAAAGTCATAAACACAGATAAGGATGGAACCAAGCTGCTGCAGTTTTCTGCCATTAGTAACAGATGATGCACCTGTTACCATGGGGACAATAAAATATCTACGCTCAGTCGGTCACAGCACAGATTGTGTCTTGTTCTTTGATAAAGTGGAGCACATTCATCCACATGTTCTGCTCAAAATGAGTGAATGAGTCATTTATTTATATCTGTTATTATTAGAGGGCTCTCAGCAGTGGGGCACTGCTATTAAACCTCACAGTTAGTGGATGGAGAGTGAGAAATTTCACTTTTTTTTAAACAACACTGATATCTTCACACAAATGAACATGAAAGTCAGATCAGTTTATGACTCAAAGGGTATTATTTGTTCCTGTTGTGTTCACTTGATAATCTTAGCTGAGCTGGTTTTAGATACTGTAATAATCTCACATGACAGATACAGTTATACATGATGCACAGAACATAAAACTGTACAAACTCTTTGGCTTTAGCCTTGAAATTAAACTAGTAACAAAATCTGAATTAAAAAATATTTCCAATCATCCATCCATCCATCGTACAACACAAAACACTGCTACATTAACCTTCTTTTTTTTAAATGTCCATATTTAACATTAAAGGGGAAAAAACAACACTACACTCCATCCAGATATTAAGGTGCATTTTTATTAGATGAAGATCCAATGATATAGTCAACATCAGCTTCCTCTTTTACAAAAGACATTAAAATTGAAACATTTTCAGTAAAAAAGTAGTATTGTACAGCCAATGCAGGGGTACCAGAGAGAAAGCATGACCTGAACTAAATTATACTCATTTATCACCACATGGATCAGAGATAAAACACAATACTTTAAACACTATTTACAAGCTGTGACACAGAAGCCGACATGAACGGTAACCCTCATGATGAACGGAGTAAATAGAATAAAAGCATATATTAAGATCTTTTTTACAAAAATCATGTTGTGTCAGAGAAAAGGCTATCCACAAACTTGGCTTTCAACTATTCACACACCCTCTTGTTCTCGCAACACTTTTTGCCCAAGCAAAACTAAAACTTTTGTTTGGTCAGTTCCTTGTTGACGGGTGGGGTTCTTTGGTTGTGCTGGATCAACTGAGCGATCAGTTCCTGCGAGTCACAGAAGAGTTAACGGTTTTTAAGGGTTTGGTTTGTAACTGGAGCGGGTAAGTGGGGCGGTGCGGGTGGGGGGGGTGGTCACCGGGTAGCTTATCGAGTACCGTTTGCAGACAGAGCAACTAATTTTTACTTTTCTAAACCAGGATCACATTTTTTAATTTGCTCACTTCACTGCGCCGTGAGTTGGTTTCACAATTCAAATGGATGAAATGAAACTGATTAGATTTTGTATTACAGCACTTAGAAATTTCACTGCAACACACAATGTTCTTTTCACAAGAACTGTGACGAGGACATGGCACGAAACTAGTCAGTTTTATATCATGCATGTTAATGTAACAGTTGCTTTGGATGCAGCCAACTGTGACATTTGCTCATTTAAAAACAATCATCAACACATTTAGCAGTCGGATCCTGGCCTTAGCAAAGAAAAGTTAGCAACGATGTATCTGAGCAATGGGTTCTAGGGAAGAGAACACAAATATTATCCACKTACGGTAAGTCTCCAAATGCACGTTTAGCAAAGTCAGAAAACTTRGTGTGGTTGAATATGGAGGTGAGACTATGGCAGGCCATTTTRACACAAAATCAACTTTGTCTTATCTCTGATTACATTCTAGATGTCTAAAAATGAGTTTTGACTAGGAACAACAACATTTTGATTATCCTGAATGKTAATTCAAGAAATCTGAAATGACATCACCTGATTCATCATTCATTTCATCCATATCTACAATTTAAGATATCACAAACATAATTACGACTATTCAATATTACATTTTGAGATATCTGAATTAAGAAATTGTGCGTAAGCCCCACCGCTGCCACTTAGCTGTCCAAACAGCTGCCTGCAGAATTTTGCAAATKTATTCTTGAGTCTTAATTCATGTTGAGCTGCAGCTAAAAATCATGTTAAAAACCCCAGAATTAGAGCTGGACTGACCTGACATTGCAGACCACTGAATGGCAAATTAAGGTACGGCTAGTGGTTCATTAAGGCTAAGATGTCTTAGAAACTTTCCAAAACTTAACCAAAATGTTACGTAAATCTGTGACATTTTGACCTGTCAAAATAAATATTCAAGACATCTTGAATAGAAAAGCTGACTAGATGAAAAAATAACTCAAGAAGTGTCTAACTCAGAGATATCTTGAATAATTCCAGAGCTCCTTCAGTGACAGTCTGCTGCATCCTAAATGAACAAAAGAACGTTACCGCAGATCATTCCTACCATCAGCTGTTAGACTCTACAACCATCACCACTTCTGCACAGTATCTTGCCTTATTTTTCATTTTTATCCAATTTCATCTTGATATCCCATTACAGTAACGATTATTTTTATTTTGATCTATGTTTATTTTTATTGTTACTATCCTTAATTTTAATTATTTATCATTGCTACAGTGGATAATGTCACATAGCAATATTCTGTTTCTGTAGATTGATGTATGCATCTGCTGCTGCTACTACACCTGAATTTCCCCATGCGGGACAATAAAGACAGTTTCTATTCTATTCTATTTTATTCTATTCTTTTCTATTCTATTCTATTCTAGATACTTTTAGTTTTGCTGAGTCATTATTTGCTTTCAAGATATCGGCAACTTAATTTGCACTAGTCCAATTAATATATCTGATATCTACAAATACCTTTAAGAAATCTTTAATAATGATGTCATTTAAGATCTCTTTAATTGGAATTGGGGCGAGTCAGAACTAAAAGTGATGACTCTGAAAAATTAACCGAGATATCTAGAACAGTATTTTAGTCAAAATTCCTTTAAGATGCATCTTGAATGAAAGCCTCCAAACAACTTAAAGGTAAATCTGACATAATTTGTACTAGTCAAAACAAAATTTGATATCTTAATTTACTAATATGTCTTGTCATAAACCAATTTCAGATATCTGTAATGTGTGTGATGAGTTTGATTTTATGTTCAAATGGCCTGCCACAGTGAGTCAAGTGTTGCCTCGTGTTTATGTCAGTAATGTAACAAACACACGTCCAGTTTGTTAAAGGTTTTCTGAATGTTTCGTCTCGTCACTCATGTGACAAACCCTGCAGAGCTTCGCCACTTTTTGCTGTTTGCCCTGCAGAGACGCTCACAGTGTTCACAACTCTGTGGCAGACATATTGGTTGTCCTGAGACATGCTTATGTTACGTAAATCTATATGTCTGTGTGACCAGGCTGGATCTGCTAACATGAGACGTGCATGAGGTGTGTGTGTGTGTGTGGTATCTCTTTACACAACTCGAGTTTTGCCAGAAGAATAAAACCCAAGGGGATCTCCCTCACAGACACGAGGGCAAATTCTTGTTGTGTTTCAGGACAAGCTGGTGGCGGTCCATCTGTTTTTTTCCCCCTTCACTCCGCCCTAATCRTCCTGAACTGCATCACTACCAAGGCGTGGAACAGATCCAAGCCAGAAGCCATCAAAGCAACAACATAGCAGGATCGGGATCATCCCCCCCACCCCGCGCCCTCCCCACTGTTTGGAGTGAGCAACCCGGCAATCCCTGCATCCAGCCCCACTGCARCCCCGCGCACATGCGCTCAGGCCTCGCCGCCAAGCCTCGCCGCCGAGGGCCTCATCGCCGGCCCAGCTGGCAGGGTTCCAATCAGTCGGATTTTGCTATAATCATCTTAGGCCATCTCATTCATGCCGGGGGACAGAGCGAATGCCCGTCAGCGCCGAGGCCAAAAGGAACCCGCCCCTCTGAGCCAAATAAGTTAATATCAACGAGACAAGTTGGAGTAAAAATCACACAGGATCTCAGGGAACACTTTGTAAAGCTGATGTCAGGTCGCTAATGTTTTATAAAAACAAAACTGTAATGATGAGACGTCCTGTCTCCTGCCGGCCAGTCACCTAGTCCTGCTAGCTGCAAACAAGCCTGCCGTCGTCTCTCTCTCTCTCTCTCTCTCTCTCTCTCCGTCAAACTGGGAAGTCTGGGAGCTTACCATGTGCATGTGTGAACACTGAGAGGTGTGGTAGGAAGGGATGGGCAGTAAGTTACAGAGGTTAATGGTAAATCAGCCAAACCAAAGTCACACACTCACCCACACACACACACACACACACATACACACATCGCCGCCCGAGCCCCTCCGCCTCTTCCCGTCCTTCAGTGCGGTTGTCCCTCGGCTCCCTCAGTCCCAGCCATTGTCCTTGATCATGTGGGCCAGCTCGATGATGAACTTGCCCTCTTTATACTTCTGACTGCTCTCAAAGGCGTGTTCCTGTAGGACAGGAGACAGAGTTCAAATGACAGCAGATAGAACATATACTATAAAACATGTTTTACATTTAATAAAGTATATGAAAAAAAAACCTTCTCCTGGCTCTACAGAAGCTGGCTGCACAACAATTTGTCAGCAGGAAAACCAAAACTCTGACCAGAGGGGGGCTCATCATACAACACGCTGACAGCAAAGTGTCTCTAACCACTAATAATCTGCCAAAACCAAAAGCCTACGGGGCTGGAAAATTACAAGAGTTAATTCAGGATACAGCACGCAGTTATCCTCCCAGGAGGGTATTTTAAACTGYAGCTGAAGTTAAAGGCACAACGTTCCTTGGCAGAATGCATATCGCCCACTGCCTTTCATGCCAGAGTTATAAAATAAACCGTCTTGTAATGAGAACAGACAGTGAAAGGTGTTTCTGTGTGACAGGTTCCACAGCCAACTCCACTGACTGAATCAAACACATTTATTTAAAAATAAAAGTATTTAGGAAAGTGTTATCCTGCAGAGGTCTGTGCAAAAAAAACTACGGTTTCAGACTCGTCATTTGCTTTCTTTTGTTCTTCTCTCTCTGTAGAAATTCACTCCAGTTTTTGTAGAGGAGAACAAAAGTTCCAGTCCTGTTTTTCACTCCGGCCTTGTCTTATCAAAGTTTCTAAATGTTTGCATGTGTTTGCATGATATATCTTGTTCTGTGACTGATCAGTATCACTGAGCAAAATGCATTGTACAAGGTTTATGAAGGTATTTTTCAGACTTTACAGTCCATCATTCATTGTGTTCTGATTTTGAAAAAAAAAAAACTATAAAAAAGTGATAATGACTACATGGACTCCCTGCTTAATGCACTGGTCTGAGTGTAACTGTAGATGTTTGTGTAACCTGCAGMCATGATTCGTCTGTACTGTTTAAACGGTGAGCAAACTACAAATACAAAATAAAAGCTTTCAACACAACAACCTCCAGTCAGGGTGAGAACAGCAATGTTTCCAGAAACTACAACCATATCCACATAACAGACAGCTGTGGGCCAGGTCTGGCAAATATGGCACTGTTTTTAAGATGTGCACCACAACTGGCCCAGTTGTGGTTTGCTTTATGTGGTGCTGGCCCATGCATGGACCACCTCTGGCAAACCACCAAAGGGCCGTCATACTTTTTGGTGTCTGGACCGAGTTTTAGTGCATTGTGTGGGCCAGAACTGGGCCAGACAAATGTTTGCTAAGTGGGCAGCTTCAGTAGAGTAAGAAGCAGAATGAGAAGGTGAATGACTCGATCTGTAAAAGACTGTTTGCATGGAGCGTGTTTATATTTAATATTTATAATTATCACCCAACTCTGAAAAGGCAGGCAAAAATATTTTGGCCATGCCTGAGTGAGAGTTTGTTTGTCTGTCAGTAAAACGTCTCATGAACCCCTGGACAAATTTGACTGAAACTAAAAGTAATCAATGAGTGGATGTCTACAACACATAGACATTTGAAATCAGTTCAATCCAAGATGGCCGTCACAGTCAAATGACCATTAAAGACAACTAAAAAAGTTAGTCAATTTTACAGGTATTTTGCTCATATTTCGTGTGGTAGTAGCAAAGAGTCATCCACAACACATAGTCTATGTGCTTGGAGTCAACCCTCTTTGTCTGTTAGCAAAATATCACACAAAACCATTAAGATTTTAATAACATTACTTACTTAACCCACCTGCTGCCCTTGGGTCAAAATGATGAGGTCTCAGTTTGACCTCGTGGGTCATTTTGACCCAAGGGCAGCAGGTGGGTTAACTTTTAAATTCAATTCAATTCAAGATGGCTGCCATCAACTGCATCAAACAAAAATAGCTGCAACTCAGTCAGATGTATGGGATAAATCTTGTGTCAGAAGGAATTGAATTTGAATTGCTCAGATTGAATTTGAATGTGCATAATTTGAAATTGAATGCATTGGTTTGAAAATAAATTGAAACTAAATTGAAACTAAATTTAATGATTTGAAACTGAATTTA